CAGACCTTATTCCCATTGAAAATGTGTGGGATTATTTGCAGCAAAAAATATATGAGGACCAAATTTCTAGCAAGTAGGATTTAAGAAAATATTTCGTCTAAGAGTGGACCAAAATCGATAGATCGTTTTGCAAAATAGTGATCCAATCTATGCCAAATAGACTTCTTGAGGTCATAAAAATCAAGAGTGGCCCAACAAGATACTAATTTCTAAGTTTCAATTGATTTTCTTAATATATTTAATAATTTATTGGGAAGTGTCCCAATGCTTTTTGAGCACATTTTCTTAACTCGATTTCTTTTATTATCAATTTTAACCATAATTTCATTAATGTATGAGTTTTGTTCAAATTATATTATTATTTGTATTTACCAAAATAACATTTTTTTTGTATGTTTAAGCAAACTATTGCGATACAAATCTATGACCTGGTAGTGTATCCCAATACTTTTTTGAGTGACTGTAGAACAAATTCAATTTGAGTTTTTTGCTCAGGATCTTACAAAATTTTTGATCATTTAAGTTCAAATGGATCTTCTTTTGTTACTTTTACTTTTTCGATTGCTATCCGTATAAAAGTTATTCAGACAAAAATTTCTAGATTGCAATAATTTTTTTAGACGGTTAAATTTTGAAGTCAGTACTTCCAAGCAGTTTGCTGTATTTATTGCATTATTTTGTATACTAGAAGAAACAAAAAACAATAACAATTTTCAAGAATACACGCAACAAAAATAACATTCGAAATAATTCCACTCATAAAAAACATTTTTAACCAGAATTTTTTTTTTCAATATATGAGAAATATATTGCTGTTTGAATATAGAAAAAGAAAACAATAACCCAATATACTATAACCTAGCAGTGCTTATTAGAAGAATTCACGGTTCATTTCACGCTATATTTCAATAAAATAAAAATAAATCTTTACCACACGATACAAAAATGTGTTATCCTTCAACGTACGAAAGAAAATCACACAAGGGGCTCATCCATAATTCTTCATAGAAACAAGATGGAAGAAACAAAGATATAACTTCTTGATGGAAAAGGGTTGCATAGTTGCGATCCCCATTCCTGACAACTGTCACAGAGGAATTTTTTTTTCCAGAAAAGAACCTGGTCTGCCACATTTCCTTATGGAACAAAAACTAGACCTGACATTCTAGACTATCGAAATAGAACAGCTGTCTGTGGGCTGGAGTGACTTAGTCTTGTTTGATCAATCACGGTAAGCAAATGTGAAAATGATCATATGGTTTCTTTTATGTGATTAATGCTTCAGAGATTTGCTTTTTCTTTTGAAATATGAATAGGTAAATATACACAGTTGTCTATATTTGTGAAATACGACTGTAATTATTGTATCTGTCTTTGAAATAGATGCGCAAAAATCAAATTATAATTGTTTCAGTTTTCTGATCTAGTTATTTCTATTTTCATTTTATAGAAGGAAATATGAAATATACAAAAACAGCACGAAATGCTATTCAAAAATATGATATTAAATAGAGATTTGTGATATATATCCAGATATTACATTTATATAATAAAATAGGTAAGTGATCTATCCTGATTATGAGAAAAATTATAATTATCACTTCGAAAATCTAGTAGTCAACTCTTGGTCACTTCATTCTTAATTTGTCAATTTTAAATCAGTAAAAATGTATATTCCTTACATTTACTATACACATTAATGCTTATAGTATTTTCTAGAATTAAAATAATATAAGGATAAAACACTATTTTACATTAACAAAGAAAATAATTGTTTTGAGAGAAAATTGAAATATGTAATCATATTAGAAGTATATATAAATAAACTTCAGCACATAATACATATAGTAACAGAGAATGGTAATTTTTTATATAAAAAAGTTATTTACTATATTTAAAAGGAACTAGAGATAAAGTATCCGTCTAGTAGTAATACAGTAAAGTTGTAAAAAAAAATATGTAAAACATTAAAATAACAGTCTGAAGTAACATTAAAGAGACTATATTGTCAAATATCAATTAACGCTTGTACATTTTAATTTCTACAATGTATGTGTGATGAGATTGCAGTGACATCGTTTTGTACCAAAGTATATGATATCACTCGATAACAATTTGAGAACTGCATTTCGGAGTAGAAACCGAAATAAGTGAACAATTTTGTTTTTGAAATGTTTTTTGTATTTTTTTTAAAATGATAATCCATGAAGTATGTATATTTTTACAATTTAGTCTTTTGAATGAACAATCAAAATACAAAATCCTTTCTACGATCACCGCATGTTGAATAATTAGAAATAAGCTTGATTTTGTTATAAATGAGAATCATATCCGTGTTAGTAAGCACAATGCGTCTATTATATTACTTAAGATCAATACACGTGTGATATCAACGATAATTCAATTTCGTTACCAATCATATTGTATAACTAAAAATGGTCAGTATATCATCATAATAAAAGAAATGCAATGTATTCTGTTCCATTCCTAAATTGGTTAGGGTATTTGGTTATACCTGCATATGGAAGTTATAAACGTATCTTCTTTCTCAAATATGTCACGAATGAATTATTTGTAGTTAGATGCATTGCCTAGATTCAAGAAAATATATAAAATATGATATTATTATTATTACTGCGACATGGTCGATCTTCGTTGATCATATCATGGGGTTTCAGCGTAAGTTAGAGGTGTGGGATTCTCGAAATGATGAGACATTTTAGAATTCTTAATATGACTTTTATTAAGAATTTAACTTAAATTACTTATATATCGAACAAACCTATATTAAGTGAGAATAAACCAAAACACGTAGTCTTAATTAACACAGATCACGCAATTAGATCACTTATCAATATAATTATACTATATCCGCCTACTCTCAATCTTAATAACATATTCCCGTTCAGAATATAATCCTCCTACCTTGGTATCTACGCAACGTCCAATCCACTTCAGATATTTCTCCAAGCGGGCGTACAATGGTATGTACCTTGGATAAATGGCGATATTTTCGTTGATTCTTAGCTAATCCGTCTATTTACACTTCTATCTTCTCTGAACTGAACTTTCTCTAAATTGCCATCGCGCTCACTAAAACTTCTGTCCTTTTAAAGAGTTATCTTATTTGCATCTATCCTTCGTTTCACTTCTTGGATTTGGGTTGGAAAAGATTTGCCATTAATCGTGGCCGTCAAAGAACACAGAGATTATGTTAGAGAAAGGACGCGTGAGATGTCACATTACATAAAAAAATCAAGTTATATGTGATATTGATGAAATTTGTCTTTTTTTTAATAAGTTCTGTTATGTCTTAATCATATACATTTTAGAAATAGCTATCATCTTATAGTGCACAGAGTGAAACGCCAAAATGTATAAAAAACCAAAAACGTTTTATTTTTTTTAGTTAAATTCACGATAGGTTCTAAAAATTGGAAGAATTTCTAAAATTCTTATTTTTTATGCATTTATAAACAGTTTTAAATTTAAAAACTTTCATTATTATTTTTAATTAAATTAATGATCGTAGATTAATTGGATGTGTGTGTAGAAGGGGGGGATATTATAATAGATGCAATCTTTGAATTTATATATTCAAGTATTTAAGAGATATAAATGTATTATATTTATTTTTTATTGTTACTTATATAAATACAAATATTTAGTATACATCTTATTTAACTTTACTTAAGATCGATGTATATGATTAAAATTGAAAATACAGCAATAATAAAGATAATAAATTTTTCGGAGAAATCATCAATTAATAGTTTCTGTTACATGTTTTTTTATTTGCATTAACTGTTATACAGGGGTATTTTTTTTTCTTTTTCAGTTTCCTTTACCTTACTAAAATAAAACAACATGATTAAATTGTTCTTTGTAAGTCATTACTTAGATTCTGCGCCTTAGTTTTTTATTTTAAAAAAATATTTTTTTTAGTTTCAAAGAATGTTATCTACTGACAAAATACTTACTTCAGTAAAGAAAATTAATTTGCAAGAAAGAAGTAATGGTATTATATATAATTCCTGTTTATGGTATGAAAAGAACCTGCTATTTGTATACAATAAAGAATAAGCTAATGGAAATTGATAAAATTGTTATTAACAAGTAATATAAAAGAATTAAGTTAATTTCTACTCAGTTAAGTTTTATTTTAGTTACTTTTAACTAATTAGAATTAATATAAATATGTATATGCATATGAAAAAATCACACTAAGTGGCAAAATAGAAGGCGATTTTTCTTGCAATTTTCCATTTTCTTTTGTATATAGGGTACTTGATGATTAAGTTTATTTATTCCAATAAAATAGTAGCGTTAAAAGAAATCACATTCTCAGAAATGAGGCCACCTCAGATGGGATTCGAACCCATGACCTATGGATTAGAAGTTCAACTCGCTATGTATTGCGCTGCAGGAACACAACAAGCTATTTTCCTTTTTAAATATGGTGTTGGACTATTTTTTTTGTTTGTTACACTTTATTTATTAATTAAATTTAGTTAATGAATTAATATTCCAAAAATCTACATTCACTTTAAGTGGATGAATAGATAGTATTTTATTAACGATTGAAAATTTGAACCATATATATATATAGTAAAATAAAATAAAAGTGAAGAAGTTCTAGAACCTACAGTGCTAAAGAAAGAAGAAATTGAAATTCACAACACACACACACATAAGGTACAAATTTTTATTTGTAAATAAATATAGATCTATAGATATATAAATATATAAAAGTCAGAATTGAAATATAGAAAGAAGTAAATAAATACGAAATATAGATCTCGAGCTATTATTTACTTCCTTTCAAATAATAACTTTAAGAATACATATATTATATATACTTCAGTCCCACAGTTTTCAAAACTTTATTAAAATAAAACTTAGCTTTCGAGCAAAAGAGTTCAAATATGGAACTAAACACTATCCCATAACCATAAGCAACAAACTTTTCCCAACCGAATCATATTTCGTTTTATTGTAATCAACACTCAAATACCAGCAATTTCCTTCCTAGTGACACAAATAAGAAACAATTTGCAAATCTAATTTCATTTTAAAACTCACTGTACTCACGAACCAAAAGTTTCCAATCACCGATTTATCATTCCACTTCACTTCAGAAGCCTTTCCAGCCGTTGCCAGATAATCCGACCACGCGAGAAATTCTCTCTCTGCAAACGGAGTAAATAGCCTGTAACAGTTTTAACGTTTTATAGTTAATCGATAGCCTAAATGAAACACATCACCCCGTAACTTAGTTACTTTCAGATCCATCAAAATGGATATAAATTGAGTATATACATAGGGGAACATAGCGCCCCACGTATTGGTGTTGAATAAATTAACAACGTACATCAGCTGCCACGTGTGTCTGAATTAATGGACTGAGCAGGCTTTCCTCAAATGTAATGGTATCCATCGGTGGCAGATGCAACTGAGTCATGGAGATCAAGAAGTTAAATTAGCATATCTAATAGATTGTGAGTAAATGTTGAATTTTATTTGGTTGGGTGACTTGATCACTATTTAAAGATAATGCTGTTGATGTTCAGTGTGTAGACCCGTGAAGAGTCCATCAAACAGGAAATTGTCATTTTATTGGAGTTTTAAGTACATTAAAGAAACTGCACTTGAGGGACTTAATATTTCATTCTAAATGAGTGTTTGTGATAAGATGCTTTGCGTGCATTTGGAGATATCCCATCACAGTGTAAGTTTATGACCTGTTTTGATAATTTAACATTATGCTTAGTTTTATATCTTTTGAATCTATGTCTTTTACTTTTATAAATTCATTTACTTTGAAATTGACTGTTCGTTTATGACTACCAAAAAGTCTGAATCCATTTTGGAAGCTCGAAAAAATTAACATGTAAATGTTTTAGTGGATTTCAAAAAAGAAATTTAGATATGCTCACTTAAATTTGCATTTTCTAAGAAGCACAATATAGATGGGAAGACTTTTTTTTATGGTAGAGTGTGTATAAAATTCGTCTCGTTCCATAATATTGCATAATTATTTTTATTTTATTCTCACCATGTTTATATCACTTATTTATAAAGTAATAAAGTTCTTTTTTTCAGTTTAGAATAGCGCGTGTTTTGGAAAATATGAGAAACACTGTTCTAGAGACGTCAGCGGCGTACATTGAAAACAGTGTGTTTGGCGTAGGGATGGCGATCTGAGAACGATTAATCGAAAAATCGATTTCTGGGACAATAAAAAATTATTTTTTTAATTATGTAGCACTGAATCGATTCAGTGAATTGATATTTCATCCTAAAAAATCGACACTCGATTTTTTTTCTGTTTTGCTAAAAAACAAAAAAAACAAAATATTTGCAATTTCTTGAATGTACTATCTTTAAACACTATTTATTGCAGGCAGTTGTGCACCTGAAATATGATTCTTCACTTTACTGGCAAGAAAAAAAAATTTTTATATCATCCCATTCACTCAATAGCCAAGATTTATATGAGTATCGTGAGATTATCTGTTCACTTTGAGAGCCCTTTTTCGATTGCCGTCAATATCGCAAGTGATGCGCGGAACCTCTTGGATCCCAGTAGACTCCATAGACAGTTGTTTTTAAAAAGCTTAAATTTTAAGCATTGGGAACTACAAGCTATATTATCTATTTTCTAAAATTTTAATGTAACAAGTACATTTAGAAAATAAATGTCTTTTTTTAGACCTAATACTTTGACATGGTAATAAAATAATTGTAATTGTCGAATTCCCTGAACTAAAAAAATTTCCTGATTTTACTGATAAGAGATCTTTTTTGTTTTTCATACAATGGATTTATATTTACATTGTAAATGCGGACTTAAAAAAAATCGATTTTTTTAGAAATCGATCCTTTACACTTTGATTTTTTAGTGAATCGATTCATCAGGTTACGATTCAAATCGATTTAAAAATGGATCTTTTTGGGAAAGAATCGCCATCTCTAGCTTGACGTCATTATCTTGTTAAAAAATGAAACCGTCTCCAAAGTCCGAATTTTGGGCAGATGATTTCAAAAACTGCTCATTGAAATATTTTAATAGAGCATACTCAGGTTTCAAAGTACTACCAAAATATACCAAATTACCTAATCCTGAGGCAGATTTACACCCCACCCCAGCAAGAACATAATTTTAAATTTTAAAAAAAACCGAATATTAACGAATTAAAAGAATTTAATTTTTAAAAAAAAACGAAAACATGACATATAAAAACAAAATGTGAGAAAAATATTAATTACAGAAGAACAGAGGGACATCAATACAAAAACTGCAAAAAAAAAAAAAAAAACTGATGAAATTCATACCAAGACGTTTAAGAGTTATTGAAGATGTTAAAAGATATCTTATACTAAATACTACATTAAGAAACGAATGCAATATTTAAAGCTGAGATTTTTGTTAAGTGTACAAGAGTTTCGTGGTGTGATTTTTCAAAAGTTTTTTGATTATTATTTTTTTAAAATAATAGTTATACTATGTTTTAAAAACCCCTTTTTACGCTATTCCATTAAGAACAAGTTGCAGATATCATAAAAAAATTACAATTCCCTATATGTTATTTTATTAGTCGAAAACATTGAATTTTACAAAAAATTGCAAGTGTGCAAACACTTTTGTGATCCACTGTATACTAATAATTATGTTATATAATAATCACATTATATAGTCTAATAGTACTTTTTGTATAATAGTATAATCCTGTAATATAATATAATAATTTATATATATAATATAGAATAATCGTATGATATAGTTTAATAGTTATTATATTATACGTATATAACAAAACACATAGTATAATAATAATATAGTTATAAATAAATAACATAATATTAATTATAAATAAACAACATAAAATGTAATAATAATGTTTATAAATAAAAATAATAAAAATTGTAATAAATAATATGATAGTTATTATTGTATATAATAATAATTGCATTTTTTAATATATTATAAGTAAAATTATTACATAATGCATATTAAAATTAATAATGAGTATCAATTAATAAGTGCTGACAACTTGCAATATTCTAAAAATTGCGAGTTCCTGTAATGAACTTCATTGATCAATGAACGTTTAAAAATGCATTATTAAAAAGGAAAATAAGATGGAAAAACGCGTTCGGAGCAATAATTATAGTCTTTAAAAAATATCTTGATACTCACCCAAGTTATTGGAAACATACATATTCAAAAACAGCACAAAATACAACAGAAAACTGTAGAAAAATTGCTTGAAGAAAGATTGCAAAAGAAAAAAAAATTGTTTTAATTTTTAAAGAAATTGAATTAAAATCGTCTGAAATTAATAGGGTTACCACGGAAGAAACCATAAATATTAATTTTATAATATACGTTATCCCCATGACAACCACATTCCCAGACGGTAAAAATATTAAGGTAACCATATTGTAATATTATCACCCATCTTGGCAAACATAAGCACCAACTCGGCGCGCAGCATTCCTATATCAAATAAGCACCTTATATTAATTTATATCATTACATTTACATATCTTTAATATTCCTTCTTGAAAAATCTTCGTTTTGAACTGCAAAATTATTTTCTATATGTTTGGAACCAAGAGACCACTTCATCCTTCCTTTTTATATAAATTTCAATATATATTTTAATAATGTAGTTTTTAATGTTTTTGTTTTATGAGATAAAACACCCGAGCGCTCTTTTTTCCGGGGGGTGGGGGGGTCCTTAATTAAACTTTAAAATTATCTGAGGAAATAGGACATATATTTTCCAAATAACTCTTAATAAGTTTATTCGTTTAGTTAATTAGTTATTTTATTTTATTTATTTTTTATTTTTATTTTTTTTTATGTAAAAGAAATGTGTGTAACATTGCCATTTTCAATTTTCATCGTTATCTTAGCTAAATAAAAAAAGTTTTTTAGTCTTTTTAATTTTAAAATGTATTCAAAGAGAGATTTCAACTTATTCATACATTGGAAACATAATGCATTTTTTAAGCAATCCATTTGTGTTCCCTTAAACTTAAAAAAACAATTTTAAACAATAATTGAGTAATTTATTTTTGTTAATAATTTGTATAAAGAAAATTAAACAATTTCTCAGTAACACAGTTTTGGTAAAATTCGCTTATAAGCAATAACCTTCTCTCCTATTCTAAATTATTATTTTTGCGTTTCTAGAGGGAAAAAAATATTACATTTATTTCCTGAATTAAGAGCTTTCAGAAATATTCCAGTAGCCTTAATAATGTGTCACAAATCAACCAGAAGAGAATCTCACAAATAGTTTCCGTCCAAATCAAATCTAATTTCTGGATACTTTTCCAGAATCAATGATGTCACTTATCTCAAATCTCGCTTTCTTGGCCGATGCATCCACAGAAATAAATCAGATAAATCACC